ACAAAATCCACGCCTTGGATGCAGGGTCAGAAAGTACATAACATTATTATTTGGCGCATACGCGCCATCTGCAGCGCTGCAAGGCCCTATGTTGGCCATGTTTCGATCAAAATTCCTTCGATCAATATGGTTAACCTCTGCCATATAATAGCTTTGGTCTGCTTCAATATTTTCCATAATTCCATCTTCTCTCCAAATTGCCATGCGCTGGTGCATTGAGGAGGGAACTGCACCTATGCCATGAATCCATTCACGGCCCAAGAGTAAATTGTAGTTTGTCTTGGCCGTTATAACCATGAACATCGTTGGTCTGGTGATGGTTCCTACAGTGAGGTCAACTTGAACTACGCCAAGTGTATGGCCAATTTTTCCTTCATAATTAGACAATACCATATTATGAGGCTTTATATATGTGTCATACATACCTATCCTCTTCAGCAAGAATTAAGGCATGAGGTTGACAGCAGCACCCCCCATCTATCATTACTTTGTTGATCCCCACTTGTTCCACTTTTCCCTTGATAAAGAGAGGCTTCAGATGGTTCTTCATACCTTGGTCTGGTTTCTCAAAGAACGCGTTTTGTTCTTCGATTGTTCCACTATTCATAACATAATAGCACACAGGTTTGTGATTTGCCATCTCTAATTCATCTGCCACTTTGGAATCTTCTACCTCCGTTACTTGATCATATTCATGTGGTAGTACATAAACCACATTGCAGACGATATTCAGAGAGGACTCCCCATTTGAGTCAAAGTTGTCAGTAAGCATGTCCTCATCGTTGGTTGGCTCTTCGTTAGTTGGTTCCTCAGGAGCCCTTTCGATGGATACCTCAGTCTTTCTGGAGGAGAAAATCATCCTTTGTGCTGGTGGCTTCTCTTTGACAAGTGCAGCAGACGAAATTTGATTCGTACTGGATTCCCCTACTTCGTTGCTGGTGAGTTCCCTTTGAGCCTTCTTGGTTCTTTGGTACCTTCGCCACTGGGTCCTTGTCATTGGGTTTTTTCCTTTGTAGTTCTCAAAAACATAGGCTTGTTGCTTTGTTGAATGGAACTGTCTTCGATATGCCCATGTGGATCTGCCACCTTCTTCGAAATTCTGCCATTTTCCTTTGCCTTTTCCTTTCCCCTTGCTTTGACTAGACTCCATCCACTTGTCCATTGGGATGTTGGATGATGGCTTGAAGGTGACTTGTCGATTCACTCTGGGGTGTGGGTTATCTGCCCTTTTTGGAATTCCTTTCGCATTGGTTACATACCTACCCCTGCTACTCCTTTGTTTGTCCCAGTATTGTGTAGACAGAATTCTTTCGAATGCTTCTGCTGCTTTCCTGTCATAAACAGCACTGCACCATGGGCACATCAGAACTTCTGATCTTGTCTTATAACACCTAACCAAAAATCCCATCAAGCTTTCTCCCATTTTTGGGTATGGCAGTAATTCTCTAGCATTCCTCCAGTTGTTTCCAGCCCTCTCTTGGTATACTTTCTGGTATGCCATTGTAGCGCTTCGATCATTCTTTGTGTTGCACTTTGGACACACGAGTCCTCCAAGATTCTTCGTATGGAAATGAAAAAGATATTCCACCAGGCTTACTTTCTGGTGCCCAGTTCGCATCCTGTCATCTTCCATCTTCAAGCGTATTTCAATCTCCGCCATCTCTAGGGATAGCTGGTTCAGATTCACCATGTTTACTTCAAACTTGGGACCTTCAGCGTTCTCCAGCTCTTCAAATCTGACTCTAAGACCCTCAGTAGTCTTAGATTTGACAGCAACTTTGGCCCTGCCCCCAGTTTTGTTAACTTCGAACTTGAGACCTTCAGCAATTTCCAATTCTTCAAATTTGGCTCTAAGACCCCCAGTAATCTTAGGTTCGCCAGCAGTTTTGGTATTTCCATCAGTGCATTCCCTTTGAACTGGCCTATGAGACCCTAAGTAGTCTCCAACCCACGAGCCTCTTCAGATACTTTGTCGAGTTTACCTTTTTCGATTTCAACAGCGTCCACCATGTTGATATCTACAGGTTCTGCAAAATTTATCTCAACAACCTGAAGAGGATCCGCGTCGACCTTCATCTTAGGCTTCTCTCCAAACTTCAGTCTTCCTTCCTTGATTGCACTATGTATCAAATCCCTGAAAAGGTAGCATTGTGAGGTTTTATGGCCTAAAAAATTATGATATTTACAAAAACCCCTTTTCTTCCGTTGTTCTAACGGATGAATTTTAGTGCCAGGGGGCACTATCATCTGACCATCTTTTACTAATAAGTCAAAGATTTCATCACACTTGGTGATGTCGAAGGTATAGGCTTTCTTTGGGAATTTGTTATTCCTTTCTGGTTCGACGGGATTCTTCCCGTTCACAGGTGCTAGACCTTTGCAAGGATAAGGTGATCCTTGCTTTAATTCTGCTAGATTTATTTTTTGCTCTTCGACCTCTGACGAGTCATCTTCGACATCTCTTTCATCTGAGCATGCTTCGACATAAGCCACTCTTTCTTTCCTGTGACTTTTGTTAGCCCTTGCTTTTTCAATCTTCAAACGCTCCACTTGTCGAACCCTGTCAGACAGTTGTGCCATGTCTCTTATATATTGGGGATCTAACTTCTTTATGATAGAGAAGTCCAATCCTCTTGCTGCCATTTCGATCAACTCGTGTTCAGGCACTTGTGTGAAACACCTCTCCTTTAACAGACGAAACCTGTTAAGATAATCATCTATAGGCTCGCTGAATTTGCGCTTAACATTTGCCAATTCTCTTAGGCTGATTTTGGATTGACCTACATAAAATTATTCATGAAATAATCTCTCCAAACGAGTCCAATCATGGATGGAATTTGCTGCAAGAGTTGTAACCTAAGTAAAAGCGTTTTTGGTTAGTAAACTAGGAAAATATTCAATCCTTAAATTTTCATTGTTTGCTATATCCCCTGCTTCTGTAAGATATCTAGCCACGTGTTCTATGGTTGACTCACTGGTGTCACCAGAGAACTTTGTGAATTTTGGCACTTTCCATCCCCTAGGTAACTCAGTTTGCTGAATGTACTCAGACAAAGGGGATATATAGTTTGGCCTTTGCATGCCAATATTTACTCCATTCCGTGCCATTATCCTTTCGACTATGACTGCTATATTATTGTTTCCTACCATATCATCATGTCGACACCCTTGGAGAATTTCGTCAGCGTCTTGGTTCCGATTCACCATGACCATCCTTCTTTGTGGTTCCTCCCTGGGGATAGCCTGTTGAAACCTATGTGGTTCTTCCCTTCGAACTGGTTGTTGAATTTCAACTTTTGGGTGTATCACTGGTTGGCTCTTCTTGAAATAATATGCCTTGATTCTCCCTTGTCCATGTGGGTTGTGGTTGTCGAGTTGATTCTCTGGGTGCACCAAAAAAATCTGCAAGGCGCCCAATTTGTGTTGCCATCTGTTGGTTTGCTTGGGCATTCTGCAGATTTGACTGTGCGGTGCTTTGGATTAGGGGGTTAAAGATTGTACTCATTTGCTGGGTGGGTATTCCCACCATTTCGTGGTTACTATCATCCATCTGTTGCCTTAAAACTGTCTGCGTATTTGTGGTAATAGGAGGCAATTGGGCCACATATCCTGACTGTGAATAGTTTCATGCCATATGATTTACCCCTAAACCTGATCCTTGTAATAGTGAGAAGGCAGATGTTAAAGGGCGTGTGTATGTCGAATTTTTATTTTGAAGTCCTGTCATTGATGTAGTTGGCATGCCATATATTGGATCTGATGTTGGGATTGTGAAATCCTGGTACATAGGTTCTAGAGACACTGCCTACTAAAGGTCTGGGGGAAACGGACGGATTTTTGCTAGCCACAGATGTTATAAAAGGTTCATTTGTGCGTTTGACAATATGGTTGAAGCACTTGTATTTGGGGGTATGGTTGTAGCGTTCGTAGTCGAAGGGATAATCGTAGTCCCTTGACTTGTCGTCGTGGCTTCGGTCGTATTCGAAGCATTTGTATTCCCTCCCGTGGGGGAGGAACTTGTTGCGCACTGCTAACGGGTGGGTTAACCATTCTCCTATTGTTCTGCTTTTTTGTTCTAGGATCTATGGTATTGGCTATTTTTCCACTCCTTAGTTTCATGCAACGAAACAAGTTAAACAACAACTGAAAACTAGACACAGGATCCCACCGAGTGTGCCAATTTGTTTATCGTGTAATTCGGTAAACAACCGCTGATCTTCTAAATCTCTAAAAAAAGATTCAGTTACTTGTGAGATCAATCTGATCGATCTCGCAAGTAACTGAATCTTTTTTTAGAGATTTAGAAGATCAGCGGTTGTTTACCGAATTACAGGGTAAACAGTTAGATGATTACTGAAGACAATTTTCTTATGAAAAAATTTACACGGGTATAAACCTACCTCTTTCTCTAAGAAGAAGAGAAGAATTAGTATCATCAAGACCAGAACCAACGTTCAGAATCGCTCATAGGATTTGGAATAGAAACCGTTCGGTGAAACAATGAATGAATTTTGAAACGGTTTTTGGAATTGGAAGTTGTTAGGAAGAGGAAGAAGAGAGGATGGGAGAGAGAAGAAGAAGAAGATGAAGGGATAAAGAATTGAAGTTCGGTGAAATAATGAATGAATTTTGAAACGGTTTTTGGAATTAGAAGTTGTTAGGAAGAGAAAGAAGAGAGGACAGGAGAGAGAGGAAGAAGAAGATGAAGGGGTAAAGAATTGAAGTTTACAGTGTTGTTTTGTAACCGTATCAGGAAGGGATGGCAGGGTTTAGCCGATTTTGTGTAGAAAGAAAATTGTAAAAATCAAAGAAGCTATCCACGTGGCTTGCAATTGGAACATAAGGACAAAATAGATTTTTTTGAATAGAATCACTTTTCTTATACTATAGATAAATAAAAGTAACTTTCAAACAACAAGAGGTGAATATAAGTTACATAATACCTCAATTGATGCACGAGCTAAGTATAACTAACTAAATTATTGTATAAAAAGACTAACTTATATAGTCTGTGCCTCACTGTCATCATTCTCTATTCTAATCATATTTCCTTTAAGCCTATGCAATTCAGCCTGCACCTGATCAACCTTAGGGTGTGATTGATCTCCAGCAGAGAACACATGAATGTCATTCTTGGCCTCAATCCAGCTTAACCCAGGATCCTTCTCCATCATTAATCCTCTCGTTTTTCTTCTTATTTCAGCAACTTCCTCCCATCTTCCTGCAGCAGCATAAAGATTAGAGAGCAACACAAGAGTTGGACCATCTTCTGCATTCAATCTCATAACTTCCTCTGCTGCATGAACTCCCACTTTCAAATTTTTGTTTATAACACAAGCACTTAGCAAAGTTCTCCATAAATAAATATTGTCTTCAAAATAAGGTGATTCGTTGATAATTTCTTCCGCTTCTTCCAATAACGCCGCACGACTCAACAATGTTACCATGCAAGAGTAGTGCTTTGGCCCAGGAACTAAACCGATGTTGTTCATATAATTCCATAGTAACTTTCCTTGCTCAGCCAATCTGCTGTGGCTGCATGCAGACAATAGAGACAATAATGTCACTTGATCTGGAACTAGACCATGTTTAGTAATCTCCTCGAAAAGTTTCAATGCCTCATCTACCATTCCATGGTGACTATATCCTCCAAGCATTGAGTTCCAACACTTCAAATCGGGACGTGAAACTTGAGAAAATACCAAATATGCAGCTTCAAGGCTACCATTTTTAGCATACATATCAATTAGACTCCCAGATACAGACATTTCAACATCATAACCCAATTTGATGGCATAACAATGGATTATTTCACCTTGTCTTAAAATTGCAAGATCAGCACAGACACTCAAAACTCCACTGAGAACGTAGCCATCAATCTCATAGGCTTCATGATGCATTTCAGAAAAGCATCTAATTGCACTCATTCCGTCTGTCATTTTAGAATAACCTGCGATCATTTCAGTCCATAGAACAGGATCCTTTCCTGGGATTAAATAAAAGACACGCTGAGCAGCTTCAGTTTCTTGATTTTTGAAATACATTGATACTAGAGTGCTCCCCACAAACACACTTCTCCCAAATCCTGATTTAATAATCTGAGCATGAAGCGGTTTTCCAAAACTAAAACACGGGAATGCACCTGTTGCAGATATAATGGCAGCATAAGTATAGTCATCTGGTTTAGGAAAGCTCAATTCCTTCAACTGAACAAACAAACTCATTGCCTTTTCTCCGTCCTCATTATCAGAATACCCAGCAATCATAGAATTCCATGAAACTAAATCCCAGTTTTCCATTCTACTAAAAATCTCATAAGCCATATGTGTATCACCAACATTGCAGTACATGTCAACCAGCGCATTCTGCAGATGTAAATCCGGTGACACATTCCCGACAATCACACGTGCATGAATCAATCTCCCACAAAAACAATCTTTCAGACGACTACAAGCATTAAAAACCATACAAAACGTGTATACAGTTGGCGTAAAACCAACCCTCATCATTTCAATAAATAGATAAACACCTTCGTTGATCTTATCATTCTTCAAATATCCAACAATCAAAGAATTCCAAGCAACATCATCTATTTCATTCATATCCCAAAAGACAGATTCAGCCGAACTCAAATCCCTACAATTTGAGTACATATTAAGTAAAGAAGTTTGGACACAAATATCATTCAAAAACCCAAACTTCAAGCTCTTGGCATGAAGTAACAACCCAACCCATAAATCTCCATGCAATGAAGATGCTTGCAGTAAGCTAGTAAAAGTCATGCTGGAAGGCCTAAGACCCATATTTTCCATCTGGGTATACAAGCTAAGGGCGTATATGGAATGTTCTGATACTCGAGAATATGCTGCAAGAAGTGCATTGTAAGAAACAAGAGTTCTATGAGGCATTTTGTCGAACACTTGGTGGGAGTCTTTGAGCGAACCACTGCGTGCATACATGGAGATGATGTGGTTGTATAGAAACGCAGATTTGGAGCCAAATGCTTTGGAGGTAGTTAAAAGGAGGGCGTGGAGTTGACGCGCGTCTCGTAGTGAAGTTGTGATGCTGCACTTTTGCAGCAGAAGAGTATCTGTGATACAAAAACATAGTCTGTTCATGTAACACTTGCATATGCCAATACCTTGATAAGGATAATATTTTTCCCTACGATGAAGATAGAGCTGTCAATATGGGCTCTCTGACCCCGGTTCTAATGGACCTGGAAAAACTAATTTATTGTAATATGGATCTCAAAAGAGAATTTCTTATGGCATCCTATATAAAAGAAAAATATCTTAAACAAAATAAACTTACAAAAATTTCAATGTTGTTGAGAGTTCCCCTATGTTAGTCATCCATAGTCAAGAGAGTCATTTTTTCTTGACTACTTTTGTGTTCTTGTTGATGTTTCAAGAAAGAAATAGTTTGTGAGTTATGATTAAGATGAAAATATCGTGTGAATATTATATGTATTTATAGGAAAATATGGAGAAATATTATGCATTCACGTGAGAATGCTTTGCATGCAATTAACACGTAGGTGTCACCCTAGGTGGTGCATCCTTTTATTTTTACATTAAGGCGTCGTTCAACACGGCTTGTTCCTTTTTACATGCATGCAAAGCTGCAACGTGACAAGGATAGCATTGTAGGATGACAGTGATCAGGTGGCATGCATTCAAGCTTGTCTTTCACGTGACAAGCCACCCAAGTTGACACATGCTTACAAAAATTAGAGGACAAGTCACCCTAGGTGGCGCATATGTTATAATTTTAGAAGAGAAGCCATCTTGGGTGGCACATTAGTGTTGTATTTCTCATACTTTCATCCGTATATTTAAGCGTCCGTTAAAGGCGTATTATTGGTATACGTCCATAATTCACAAAAAATATATCTCAACATATGGATCATTCACAATATTATACTATCGTTGATTATATTAACAATGATGCGTTCAACTGTGATAACTTTAGTTTTAATTTTCGTAATACTGATTTTATCCGCTTTAGGACAAACAAGAAATCAAGTTTTGCACGTTTCAAAGATAGACTAGAAGCAAAATTGCAGTGTGGTCCAGTTTACCAAATTATTTACAAGTCTTCATTTCTATTTGACAACAACAAAGTCAGATTTTTCAACTAAAGGTGTGCGATGATGATGATGTTCGAAACATGTTTCAAACTCATGAACAATATGGGTTTAATGAGATTGAGTTGTATGTTTTATTACAACAACCTGATCAATTTCAGGTGGTAGATCTTTCTCCATATTTTGAAGAAGAGGACGAATCTGACGAGGACAACCACCCCAAAATCGATGTTATTTTCCAAGAAGAAGAAGAAGATGAGGCAATGATTGATTTTATGGTCAATTATGACGTTGCAGATCAAGAGCATGAACCGTTACCTACGAGTCATGCGTACGACCCTTCGTTTCACATGACGAACTAGAATTTAGGGGAATACGAACCAGCCTCAGATATCTTTCACAATCCTTATATGCAGATCGAAGGGGCCTTGAAAGTTGAAGACAAATTTCGTACAAAAAAAAGAGTGCGTTAGAGCTATCAAAAAATACCACATAGAAATTTTAGCTGACTTTACTATAGATCGAACTAATTCAAGGAGGTACATTATTTTATATCGTCAAAAACCAATTTACCATTTTCGGTTAACTTCATTTTATAGGAAGAGAAGTGATTCATGGGAAATATGTACCATTGATCCACTCCACACTTGCATCACCACCGTTCCGACGCAGGATCATCGAAAAATTAGTTCTCAACTAATATGTCAATAAATCTTGCCTCTTATTAGCAAGGATCTATCATTAAAGGTGAGTACAACTATTTCTCACATCGTTACAAGATTGAATTATACTCCCTCTTACAGAAAGGCATGGATCGTGAGGACTAAGACAGTTGAACTTGTCTACGATAATTGGGAGGAATCGTACAAAGAACTTCTAAAAATTTTGGTGGCAATCAAATATTATGCTCCGGGGACTATTATAATTTTGGAGATACTCCTGGCATTTACCCCAGACATGACTCATGTTAGTGGAAATGGAATATTTCATCGATTTTTCTGGGTGTATGAACCATGCATCAAAGGTTTTGCATTCTGCAAACCTATTATACAGATTGATGGAACTTGGTTATGCAAAAAGTATAAAGGAACATTACTCGTGGCAGTGGCACAATATGACAACAATAATGATTTTTCGATGCCTTCTCTCTAGTTGAAGGTGAGACATGTGGTGCATGGAATTTCTTTCTGAAGAATCTCCGATTACACGTTGCTCCTCCACCCAACCTTTGTTTGATTTCAGACAAACATCCATCGATTGTGAGTGCATACAATAACCATGATAACGGTTGGCAGGACCCCCATTCAACACATGTCTATTGCATTAGACATATCACACAAAACTTCATACTCCATATCAAAGACAAGACGCTTCGAAAGAAAGTTGTTAATGTAGGATATGCCTTAATAGGACCATCATTCCAACACTATCGTGAAGAAATCCGGTTGACAAACTCAGAAGCGTTAAGGTGGATTGATAACATTCTAGTGGAGAAGTGGACTCAGACATTTGATAATGGTCAACGATGGGGCCACATGACAAAAAATTGGTGGAATCATTGAACTATGTCTTCAAAGGAATCTGAAATCTACCAATTACTGCATTGGTTAGAGCAACATATTTTAGGTTTGGGTCATTGTTCAAAACAAGAAGTTCAAAATGGAGGGCAGTGTTATAATCAGGGCAGTTGTTTAGTGAATTCATAATGAAATCATTTAACAAGGAGGCTGCCGAAGCTAACACCCATAATGTCATTGTGTTTTACCATATTAAAGGTTGGTTCAGTTTATAAGAGACAATGGATCATAATGAGGGGGGCCAAGGAAATATTATCGGGTCGAACTAGATAGAAGTTGATGCGATTGCGAAAAGTTTCAAGCATTTCGCATGACTTGCTCTCGTGTCATAACGGCATGTTCGAATGTTCGTTTGGACCTAAGAGGACATATATCCCCCATTTACACAATCAAAAGCGTTTTAAGTGTGTACATCAATACCTTCTTCGTATTGGCAAATGGGGATTATTGGCCTGCTTATCAAGGGGACATTGTTTGGCACAATGAACAAATGTGAAGGAAGAAAATGGGGCGCCCAAATAGCACTCATATTAGAACTGAAATGGATACGGCCAACAAAATGATAAGATTATGCAATACATGTCGTCTTCCCGGACACAATCAAAAAAATTGTCCAAATATTGAGTCTAGCTCTGCAATCTAATTTTTTTATAGCAAACTTTCGGGAGTAATTAATTTGTTGTAAGAAATAAATTTCAATTTAAATTCGGTTTTTCATTCCGTATTCAAGTTAACATTTGATTACAACAACCTTCAGACAATGGTCCCAAAAATTACAACACGACAAACTCAGGAAAAATACACAAAACACAATAACACGATAAGCAGACAAAACAACTAAACACATCATAATAACTAAGAGATAAAAACCATGAACGCAATATCTTCTGGTCCAAGCATCATCATCATGACATCAGCATCGCATCTCACCTTTTTCCATGAACGACTTACTCCATTTACTTTCTTCACTGTAATTTTCCTTTCTACTTTTCTGATTTTTTTTCACCTTCAGAAATGCCTCCTTCCAACCAACGAATCAAGTGCCTCTGAAAATGCTCGAACGTCTACGTGTTCCAGAGTTTGATCTTAATCGAGGCTTTGTCGCTGAAAAAACAACATGAGCGTCTCTTTTGATAAGTGAAAACCTTGACAATGGAGTGGAAAACCTTGGCAAGGGAGTGGAAGATATTTTCTAAGAGTGATGTGAAAAATGGTGTGAAAAATGGTGAAGATGTGTGGTTGCATTTATAAAAAATCAAATACAACTGTCAAGCCACCTACAATGGCGCCTCCTCATGCGCCACACTGAATGACACTATATAGGAGGACAAACCATGCAGTGTGGCGCCTCATCTCTAATTTACATGCATGCACCAAACAAAGTGGCTTGACATCTGTGTAACAAATTTTTTGTGTTTGAAAAGTGATTACTTTGATAATTTAAAAAACAAGTGATTACTTGAGAATTAAAAAAAAAGTGATTATTCAAAAAAAAATCTAAATACTCAAAAAGTTTATTTTGATAAATGAGCTTATATCATTACTTCAGAACAATCACTTTAGTACAAAACTATAACACTTCAAAGGTCTGGAAAAGAATCAACTACAACAAATATCTACAATATGCTATACCAAACTCTATCATTTGGGCTAATTTTGGATGGCTAAGAAATAAAACTCTATTTTTAACATAATTCTGTATGTTTGAACGCTTATTTCCGGTCTCTCTAGCTTGTGGTTCCATATGACATTGTTTTGAGAGTGTTAAATCTCAATTTAAAATCTAAACTCTTAGATTTTACATTTTTAGATTGGTATTTAGTGTTAAATCACAGGTAAAATCGTTTTTAAGTAAAATCATACAATAGAACGATTTTACACAATTTAAAACACTCTGAAATCTGTATAATCATATAAAATCGTTAAATTTTACTCTTTAACTTTTTTTTTTCTTAAAATTTTAAAAATCCCAGCCCAATTAAACTTCTCTCACTTTATTATTTTATTCACTTTAAATAATTTGTTTTTTCTTTAGACATTAGAACTTTTCATTTACCAGAGCAATGGAAATTAAAAACCTTTGAACCCTAACTTCACTCTACTTGTACGACGCCGGACCAAAACTTCAACAAAAATATCATTACATGTTGCTGCTGGATATGTATATAGTCATAGCATAAACTTTATATATATATATATATATATATATATATATATATATATATATATATATATATATATATATATATATATATATATATATATATATATATATATATATATATATATATATATATATATTAATGAGGTAAATTCTACGATTTTATATTTCGATTTTACTTAACCAAAACGAATTAAGATAAAAATTCAATTTTGACAACTTTGGTCGTAGCTACCATCACGGTTGAATACATATGCTTTTTGAATTTGCTCACCTTTACCCTGTTTATCCAACGCATCAAGCCTTGTAAGTCGTTGCACTCCAAATTCCACTTTAGCCAATCTTCAACCTACTATGGACATCTCAAACTATAATCACAATTAAAGTATAAGTGATGCACAATTTCCTTATGAAGCCCACATAGGAGACAATCTGCATCATTAATGATGCCTATTTTCTTTAATCTATCTTTGGTCTTCATCCTATCTTGAATTGCCAACCACGTCAAACTATTTTTGGTATGTTTAA